GCGTTTCGAGGAAAAAGTTGGCTGGAAGCAATTCATGATCCGGTCTCTCCGGAAACCAGAAGAGGATTTCCGCGTAGGAAAGACTGTTGTGTCATGCAAAGAAGTTCTCGGCTCACTGGCCTGCGAGCCCGATTAAAATGTTCTAAGCTTTCGTCTCTACTATGACATACATCATCAGAGCAGGTATCCAAACTTAACGAAATAAAGCAAAAATATGCTAACCCAAATGGAAATTTGGCCGGCTGCAACCATAGTGGCTTCCAACCTTGCGATCTTTTTGAAGTACTCCATTATTCGGTTGGCTACTTCAACCTTACTCTACATACTTGCGGTAGAGTTAAACTACTTCCCGAACGGGAAGTGTGTTTGATGGCAGCTGCTTCCTTACACAAATAACCTCGTGTATGTTCCTCAATGTTGAATCATGTTTGGGCATATGTTATTGCCTATTGTATGTATGTAATGTTCATATCATGAAAAGTGTTAGTCCTAGCTAGACTCGAGGCTAATCCAGGCTCTGTCTTCGAAACCTAGATTTTCTTGATATAATTCGTTGGTATGTTACTTAGAAAAGAGTCTAATGCTGAGCAATCTAATTGCTTGTTCCTTCAATTATTGCCTTTTCCTGACTTCTCTTTTCTTAGTAGTTCGTCCGTTTTAGTAGACATCCTGCTTCTTGAAGTTAGCGATAGGCAAGACGATCCGAAGTGTATTTTGGTCCCTAATGGTAGCTCGTCCACGATGAGGTGAAAATAGTTTTTTTCTTAAACTGACTGTCGAAAAAGGTGCTTTCAATGAATCTAGCGAGATGACATTTTAATGGAGATTTTCGTTCCGTATGTGGGCGCATTATGAAGAGATTCAAAAGGTCGATATCATCCGAAGTCGATGGCTGATTCACGTTGGTATGCAGCCGTTTGCCTCCAATACGACCTAAAGTTTGAGGCAGTCTACGAGGAATCTTCCCTGGTTTCAAGTGTAAACGAGCTTCTCTTTCCTCCGTCATATGGTGGACATCGTCAGACTAGGACTTAATTCTTTCAAAAGCTTCAAGTTAGCACTAATTTAGGAAAATTATCTAGCTCTATCCTTCCCATATATAAAGAACCACAAGTAAAAAAAGAAAACATATCTCTGAATTGGTACAGAATGATTTGGTTATTACGCTCTATAAATTATTCTGAATTATTTCCTAGCTTACATACATACGAACGTTAATACACCACACTCACACAAGTAAATGTTTCCTGATTAATATAATAGAGAACCAACCAAATCCATCCATATCTATGCTTTCTTTATTTTTATTGATCAGTAAACATAGCATGTAGGACATACACGGATAGAATTCTTGACTAGAAGCTTTCAAGAGTGAAGTAGCATGACGGACGAAAGATCAACCTGTATTCATCCAAAAAGAGAGGAGATGTCTCGAAGACTGTAGGATAACAGAAATCACCGTTCATCTTCTATTGAAATCGATCGATGAATCTCTTCATTACGCACTTTAATACAAAATTTAAAGGATTAGCCTCCTCTTTAACTTGTTTATTCTTCCAGAATGGAATACCTTTGGACCCTATCGAAGTCAAAACATCACCTCCAACGAGGGTAAAATGCGAAAAATGAGAGTTTAAAAAGTAGGGCATGGCATTCGAAATAAGACAGGCCTTCTTCACCCCAAATCCCTAATGGAGATAAATCGAGAAACTACTTGTGACATTTTGATAAAATTATGGTTTATTTTCTTATTCGTGTCTTGGCTGTCCAGAGTACTCTGCCATAGTGATTATGATAATCTCCAAGACAGAATCGTGGACTTGGATCCCCAGACGAAGTCCGAAATTCTATCGTGTAAATTATCCTGACTACTATGACAGATGAATCTGTATAAGGAGCTCTCATTGAGGTTGCCCTGACAACGGAAGCAGTTTTTAATAACGAAGCCAAGCTATTTCTATTTAGCGAAGGGAGACGTCGATCAAGGTATAGATTGCATTATTTTTGTTGTCATACCTTAGATTAATCTGTCTTATTCTTTTGTCAGAAAAGCCATCTATGGTGAGAATTAGAGATGCATAATTGAATATTATTTAGGCACCAGCGGTCTATTGGTGTTTTAAGCCTTTATATGAATCCTTATTTTAAAATGCGTTAAACGATTAAATTTTGAAGAAATCTTAAAGCTTCTGTCCATTTCATCGATTTCAAACGAGAAAATAGATAAAATCTACGATCGGCCATCAGCAAGGCTCCTTGGAACTTTGCGAATTGATATTGTCGTCACTTTCATCTTTTGGATTTAGCAATAAATGATTGTTTAAAATGATCTATGCTCGGGGTCATGATGGCTTGTTTCATTTTGACCTGTAGCCTACAAAGTTGCCTCCCAAAATTAAGCGTCTAATCTTTTCAGTCTGAAATATTTGTGGATATATTTGGAGTTTTAAAGCAACATAAAACGTATATTTAAGCCCTATTGATACATTTTTTCAGTAATAAGCTCTTTAGTCACTCCAGGCTGTATATGGTGATTAAATAGAGTGGAATAGATCACAGCTTTGGATTCAAAAGTTATCATCAACTTTCCCGGTAGGATTAACGGCCGACTAGCTATACTTTATCCCTCCAGCATATAGCTACAATTGCCGTAAGTTAGTGGGCAGATTTGGCTTTCAGGAAGAGCTAGGTCTCTACAAATTATTTTTACTTTATAAATATGTTTTAAAATTACAGGTAGATTATACATATGGTATGTATTCACCCTATTTCGTCAAGGTGATAATGGACTGGTAGTTGGATTTTTTAACATTCATAAGAGTTGGCCACATGTTTACTTTGAACTTTGCTTGGCCTTGCTTTCCCTTGCCCTTTCCCCCATCCAGATTGAAGTGGACTGCAGTTTCGACCTCATCTAGGTCTCATCAGAACATCCAGCGCGACTCGAATCCATGTCTTACTAATGCAACGTATAATCTCGACAATTTGACCACTACGCCACGCTAACATGAGAGCCCTTGAATCCAAGGGAAAACGAAAATTTCAAGGAAGGCCAGCTATTTTCACATTGAACATTCTGTGGTGGGGTTGTCGATTAGGCAAAGTTGCATTTGCTATATAAATCGACTATATTACTAATATTTCATTTATAAGTAGCATTTCAATACCTTTAAAGCATATATATATATATATATATATGTATATAAGACTTGAACTACAGTGGGAAAATTCGAAATCCAATCCTTTATCAACTTAAGCAAATAA